CGGAGTATGGAATTCTTGACAGCGCTTTCTTGAAGGTGTATTCGGCGGCCTGGCATGTCGGACGGTGTTTGGAGACCTTCTAGCAGGCTGGACAGCAAGAACACATGTTCCAAATCTCCTTGGACAACTGCTATAGGGTGCTGGAAGTGTTTGGACAGCAAATCTAGATCTCCAATGGTCTAGGACAGCAGGCTGCCTTGGCTGGAATGCTTAAACACACAACAGATTTTAGGGGGAAGGGAGGAAAATCGTGAAGGGAGACTTAGGACGGGAACAGCAATGTGTGTAATGCTTGGTTTGAAAACAAGTCCATCCTCACTAAGAGATTTGAGAGAGAGGAGGGTGAACTCACAAAGAGATCATAAGTGGAAAATATTTTTCATTCATCAAAACTAAAACTATTACAAGAGAAGGGCCATATAAATAGGCCTCACAATGACAAAGAAAAATAAAAGACTAAAATGCCCCTTGGGCTACAATAGCTACCAAATACCCATAAGAGCAAAAATGGAAAAACATAAAATAAAAATAAAATACTACATAAAATAATGAAAATACAACTCATGCTCGTGGCCATCGATCTCTAGCATCACAAAATGCTGACGATGTCCTCATCAGTATAAAGGGAAAAACAATAATATAAAATAAACAAGTACATAAAATATATAAATAAATAACTCAAGATTGTAGTCGTTGATCTCTGATGTCCTCATCAAGGGGACTCGAATGAATGAAAGAGGTTCATTAAGAACCTGAACTATACTTGGACTTGCAATAAATAGCTACGGGACTCCGAATTGAATCAATAGTAGACTGCAAGGGACTATTTGAACTCGAATGAGTTGAACAAATGAATTTAATTTGAACCTAAACTTGAATACAACATCAACATTAAATCAAGCTTAATCAAATAATGTTGGATGGACAAAGACTTGAACTTGCAGACCAAACCAGACCTAAACTCAACAAGACTCAATAAACTCTAGTTTGAATCAAATGAAAGAGTTGTGGTGGACAATATTCCAAAGGAATTATTCATGTGCAAGTAAGGGACTTGTAGCAAGAGGTCCCCATACGACTTCAATCATCATTTGATTATAAACACATTAAGCTTCCTGCAAGCAAAAGAAGTTGATGGGTAATGAATATAATGTGACACCTATAAATAATGATGATTGATGCAATCTACACGTAATCAATGTCTCCAAATTGCAATTAACAATGACCTAACTTCAAGAAAATACGCCCTCCTAGCATATCAAGAAGTGATAATGCAAATGTGTCACAAATATGGTGGTTGTCCTACAAGCATATGTAAGAAGACTACAATAACACCAGTAACTATGCCTGTTGATTGAAGAAGGCGATATTGGGGACTAATAATGGAGGATCCGCCCCTGTAAACAAGTAAAATCAGCAAACCCACCTGAGATTGGTGAAAGGTGGATATGATGCATAAACAATGGCTCTCATACGAACACTACCAGGAGGCGAGTGGATACAACGATTTCCTGCAAATGAATACTTGTGGATAACAACAATGGATATATTGTAGGTATGATGAACCACTGTGGGCACAAGTACATATATCACCTACAACGACGGTGACCAAGATCTACAAGTACGTCGGGTATAAGGGCAACCCGATGTATGAAAAAGGGACACCCCCTGACAGAATGGAAGAAATGTTTGAACTAAACTTCCTGGTGTTCCAAAGTCTCTTCTTAGTTCTATACTTAAGAAAAAAATAGTTCTGGTGTCCACAAACATTGGAAATAACAAGTCTAATACATTGATGATCCTGAAAAGAGTCCCTTTCAAGGCAGCAGTCACTGATTTCAAAGTCCAGAAGAACCATCCCCGGTGAACGAGAAAGGGGAGTCAACATCAAAGTCATGAGATGTCTCATGACTTTCAAATAACACCGCCACCGGATCTATAACACTTATGCAAGCAGACAGAAGGCGTCCACAACCTATAACACCGCCACCTGATTCGTAACACTCGTACTATTAAACAGAAGGCGTGTATAGGCTCTCAAATAAAATATTTTGCATTCAAACGACAATTATCTGCACAATCAAAATATGATAAAATACCCCTGCACATGCACTATAAATTATATACACATAGGTACACTAAAGGGAAAATATAATTTCGACCCGCGTGGGCCCCGACGAGCGTGTTATTAGTACATACGTGACGTTTAGGGATGCTGCGCGGGTCGATAAGTGAATTCAAGTTCGAACCCGATCCTTCTATACGGATCAATAGGAGTCGACAGGGTTCGAACCTTCAAATGAATACCCGGTTGTGGCGACCAGTGTATTTGTTTTGATACATTCATATTAGGCCGTCAAGGCCTATAACAATGAGAATTCACTAACAAAAGGCACAAAGCCTACGAAGCTCAATCCTCCTAAGTAGGTAAATAGGAGTTGACAGGGTTCGAACCATCGGATAAATATGCGGTCACAAAGTCCACCGGAATATTTATCTTTTACATTCATATTAGGCCTTCAAGGTCTATAACACAAGAAGTTCATTCTCAAGGCACAAAGCCTACGAAACCCGATCCTCCTAAGCAGGTAAATAGGAGTAGGCATGGTTCGAATTATCGGATAAATATGCAGTTACGAATATGACTGAAATATTTATTTTATACATTCATATTAAGCCTTCAAGGCCTTTAACAAAGGCATCAAATCTTTGAGATATGAATCAATAGGATATGATCGATATGGCACAAAGCCCTTTGTTAGCTAAGGTGGATTCAAATTTGTCTCCTTAGACAAACATCTAACCCAGGTCTACAAGGTACCCTTGGACGAAGCAAACCCATGGCTGCCGACAAGGATCCTTCTGTTAGGTTGGGTCGACTACCTCCTCTGACTAAGTAGATCAGGGACCACGATGGCCCGGGACGACAGAACCATGGGATCTTGATCGGGTCCATCATTCATTCCCCCACCATCCGCTTTAAGTGCAAGATGGTGAAATTTCTATTTTAAATATCAAACTCTCTCAAATTCTCAAATTCAAACTCATGCTACTACTATATGCCAGATAACACGTATCTCTACGTATCTGATTGACGACTAGCCTTAATCGAAAGTTCTCTCTCGTTATCGGGAGGGGTAATTAACTATAGGGTCTTGCGCCTATAGGAAACCAGCACTCAGATCATAAAGTCCTCTCAAAATGAGGGCGAAATCTCTAGGTAGTGTCTTATCTACAAACCCATCTGCCTTCCAAAATTTATCCCGGAACTTTATCCGTTAAAACTCCCTTGCCAAAATAAAATAAACAAAAAGCGGTCGGAGGCCGGGGCCAAATTTTCGAAGCCCACAGGTTAATTCTAAATATTCAAAGCGTCACCTAAATGCCCATAAAACCCAAAACTCCAAGAAAATATCATATCCAAATATTTAAAATTAAAATAAATCATCAAACACTTAAAACAAAACTCATTCACCATCCACTACAGTTTGTCGATGTGGACAACTTTAAATATTACTTTATCTCGCAAAGAGTTAATATCTGGTTGAGAATATCATTATGATTTATTCAAAAACAGTCTCTTGCCAGCAAGGATGATATAATCGATAGGACACAAAGCCCTTTGTTAGTTAAGGTGGATTCAAATTTTTCCTCTTAGACAAATACTCACCCAGGTCCACAAGGTACCATTGGACGATGCAACCCATGGATGCCGATAAGGATCCTTCTGTAAGGTTGGGTTGACTACCTCCTCTAACTAAGTAGACAAGGGACCATGATGGCCCGGGATGATGGAATCATGAGATCTTGATCGGTCCATCATCCATTCTCCTACTATTCGCTTTCCGTGCAACATGGTGAAATTTCTAATTTTAAATATCAAACATTCAAACACTTAACCCATGCTGCTACTATATGTCAAATACATTTATCTCTACGTATCTGATTGACGACTAGTCTTAATCAAAAGTTTTCTCTTACTATTGGGAGGGGTAATTAACTATAGGGGCTTGCACCTATAGGAAACTAAACTCAGATCATAAAATCCTCGCAAAATGAAGCAAAATCTCTGGGTAGTGTCATATTTTAAACCCAATCTGCCTTTTAAAAATTTACCCCCAGAGCTTAATCTGTTAAAACTCCCCCGAAAGTAGGGAGGCTAAGATGCGAATTTTTGGAGCCCACAAATATAAATTGTTAATCAGTATTGGGAAGGTTTGTCAATGCATTCTCGGAGGGTTCTAAATGCATTCTGAATAATGGTTCTGATTGGTCCAACTTGACTTGATATGTCGCTTCTTTCAATAAGCCATTTCTGTTGCAGATTTAATCATGAGAAAACATGCTTAACTACCCTTCTTAGTTTGGATCAAGCAATGCATGGATCTTTCTGCAAGTCTTCCATATTTATGCTTTCCCAAATTTAAGTAGTATTTTGGCATACACACTGATGCAGTGAAAAGAAAATACCTACAATTTGAATCGTTATGCTGCCTGCTCCTTGGTCTGTCCTGAATTTAAGTTGAACCAACAATGGATGCTTAAGAACGGGATCATCTAAATGGCTTAAAATCCTGTATGTATTAGTTCCTTGTATGAATTATAGGTTTGTGCTGGGACTGAAATGATGAGCTATTAGACTCCTGGTTGATTTAATCTTTCCGAGAAACTTTATTTTCTAAACAAATCATCTAGCAGATCAAAAAGGAGATTTTTCCTTTGCCATGCTGTGTTTTATTTGCATTGAATTTGCAGTTGTCTTTATGATGGTTAGCTGTATAAATCTGATAATCTACTTAATAAAATGCTATTTTTTTTCACTCTGGCCTTAGCTGATTGTCATGTATTCTCTTTGGTCATGCAAATTAGATGATCCCTCTACTCTCCATCTTCCTCTTACAATTTGACATTTTCAAGCTTATAAGATGTAAAATTAACGGTGTATGCTATAACGAAAGTTGCTTTATGACCTTGTTGACACTTTTTCTACACTTTCACAGTGGCGCAGAGTATATCAGGATGGAAGTCCCATTAATTGTGCTTCCCACCAGGGCTCTACTGAAGCTCGACTCTCCATTATCTTCGTTCACCGATATGCAACATATGTTATTTGAGGAGGAACAGTCCGCTTACAAACAGGCCCTTCTACAAAACATGCGGTAGTGGTTATGTGCATACTAACAAATGCCATTATCACTCAGAAATGCATCTTCTTCTAAGTTTAATTATAAGATTTAATTTTAATAGAATTTATGCAGCAATGGAAAGATACACCCGCTCGCTTACATACATCACACATCAACCTATCAGGCATCACTGTGCAAGTTGATCGAATATTGGTGAGAATATAAAGAAGATGTTAATAGGATTTTTTTTTTTTTTTCTATTTTGCTTGTTGAAAGATTTATTATCCTTGTATGCAGCTTGAGTCCTGCTGTAAAAGTACTTCAAGATCGTTTAAAAGAGAATGAGATTAGGGTAAGTTTTCTTCGACTTAGGCTTCGTTTGAGACAGCCTTCTTACTGCTTCTTAAAATAACTTTTTAGTACTAGAAAGCTACTTTAAGAAGCGGTAAGAAAGCCGTCCCAAATGAAGCCTTAATCTTTCTGGTTGGATTTGAAAATGTTGAGGAGAGATGAAGTTGGTTCTTCTCTGATGATGAACAGCTTGGAATTTTGATGGAAGAGGGCATCTCATTGGAGAGGGAGTTGAACCTGGAATCCTCCCCCAGGCGGCATCAAGGAGGTGCATTGACATTGCAAAGAGAAATGCGTAGTTCAGGGGAATCTGGTTCGAGAAGCCCCAGCGGCATCAGCAACAGGAGAAAGACACCTTGAATTTTCTAAAGCACTTGTAGCCTCTCCTTTCTCTTGTGAAGGTTTGTTGTAAGTTGCGCTGTGCCTCTCACACGTTTTGTTTCCTTGAGAATTTCTTAGTGAATTATGTATTGCGTCGAGAGAACTTCCATATTTATATCCTGTTTTATGATGCAAGGTTTGTAGCTGATGGATGAGCTTGCTTATTACTGCTATGGCTGATTCCTTTTTGTTGAGCCAAAATATTTCTATTCAGTGTAGTCTTATTTCTCTCTCTCTCTCTCTCTCTCTCTCTCTCTCTCTCTCTCTTTCTCTCTCTAGTGAATCTTATTTTATAAAGAACTCTACCATGGTATGTATCTGACCATTTCCTCATTTAATAACATCATAATGCCAATGTAGGATCTCATACCTTACCTCTATATGTTTTTACAAAATTATTGAAAATTTACTCTAAGTATTAATGAACCTTATTAAAAATAAATAAATTTTTTACTTGGAAATTGCTTTAAGCAGCAGGAAGAAAATCGTCCCAAATGAAGCTTAGAATAAATCATCTTTCTTTACTCTTCAACAAATTACCTTGGCACATCTTATACCCATTGGGCTTAGACCTTGAGTTTTATTTAGTGCAAATATTTCAAAATAATTTTTATTTATATAAAAAATATATTTAAAAATACTTATTTTTATGATATAATGAGTTCTAATATGATAATTTTATCTCATACAATATAATAAAATACAAATTATATAAAATAGGAGTTGTATCAAATAAAGAGTTCTGACATTGTAAAATGTATAAATTGTCAGAAATTAAGATGTTAAAGAGTGTGCAACAAAAAGTGATTGCAATTTGTGATAGTTAGAATGTTACTGAAAGTAATAGGGAACAATAGTGTGAGACAAAGGAATAGAATCAAATACATTATTTCTTCATCTTTATAGGTCTTTTTGGAAGCTTTGTTTTGATGCTTTGTGTTGTTCTATAGCTGATCAGTGCGCATGCATGGTACATCAAATGATTTTGTTCTCTATTATTTAATATGTTAATCTTTGATGACATAAAATATATTTGTTCTGTTTTTTTTAATGAGTTCTCCTTATTTAGGCTTTATTTGGTTGACTTAGATTTTTTACTGTTTTCTAAAATAATTTTTAGTATAAAAAGTTTTAATTAAAAAGTTTTTATACTAAAAAATAGTTTTAAAGAAGAGTAAGAAAGCCATCTCAAATCAAGTCTTAGTAAAAGTCTATTTGAGATAGTTTTCTTTTATAATTTATTTTCTAGATAATTATTATTGTTTGTTTGGCTATAATTAGTTTTTATGCTTTTTTTTATAAATTTCTATAATGAGGAATTTTTTTTCAACTATATTTGCCTCAACTTTTTTGATGGATAAAATCTATAATACCTATGAGATATGTTAAACTTGTGAAAATTAGAAATCAACATGAACTTTGTATTCACATTAAAAAGACTTAATAGATATAAGGCCACATATGGTGGTAATGAGGAAGCAATAGTAATGAGTGTACTACTTATTATGTTGGTAATAGTTAGAAATTAGTACATTATATGTCATGAATTATATGAGAATAGGATAACAATATAAATGTGAATATGCACCGTCATAATATACCTATAGATATTCCTTTAATATGCCCTTCGAGAAGTGCAGGGTTTTTTTTGTTGTGGTAGGTTCAAGATAGGGTGTTGAGTCGATGACGACATACGAGAGGTTTGTGAGAGGCTTAAAGATGTTATTTTGTTAGTAGGTTGGCAGATTGTGGGTGGAAGAGAGACTAGTAGGACATTCAATGAGGGTAGTTAGGAAGGGTTATGTTGTATTGTAAATGTGTAACTTGTGATAAACTACTGAGATGTCGAATTTACTATTGTAGAGGTAGATTTATTGTAGATATTGTTGACTCTAAGTAGAAGGTTGCGAGGTAGAAGTTCGTGTATTGAGGTGAGGTTTGATGGGGTCGAGCCAATCTATAATGCTAGATGTGGTCAATCACTTTTGTCCCACTCATAAGAATTATGTTTACTTCTCACTTGAATTTTAAGCTTCAACATCAAAGGAGTAGTAATAGAAAATTGTTCATAAGCTCACTCAAATTATCTCTACTAAATCTAATAGAAGAACCCTAACATTGTTTAGTACTATGATGATAAATTATCCTTCAATATCTAAATTAAGGAAATATAAAAAGCTTAAGGAGCCATCTTAAATAAATCATCTAGACTTTATAACTCTTAAAATAATAATTTTAGTTTTATATTAAATTATTAAAAAATGAAACCTCCAAGTATTGTTGATTAGCTTGACTAAAAGATCGCTTATTAAATAAAATAAAATCACACCACTACGATTTCGTCTGGACAATTTTCTTACTGCTTTCTAAAGCCACTTTTTAGTACACAAACTTTTTGAACTAAAAAATTTTGTTCGATAAAACAACTTTAGAAAGCAATAAGAAAGTCATCCAAAATGAAGTCTTAATTGTTCATAATAATTAATTATTATAACTATGAAAGCCCTCAATCGACCTCACCTTTCGATTGGGTTGCAAATGACTTCTTTTATATTATGTTTTCGATAGAAGTCATGACCAATCCTTTGAGTAATAGGGCTCTTTTAAGGAAGAAATTGAGCATCTCATCTCTTTGATAATTTTGAAAAAATTTATATATTGTTGTGTTATCATCATCATATAAATAAGAGTACACGTCTTAGATATCTCGAGTCTATTGTTTAGAGTAATGGTGAAATAACTGGGCATATTATTAGTAGAATTTAAGTCAAATAGTTGAAGTAGAGGAATGCATCAGATATATTGTGTGATAGAAAGTACCCCTCAAACTTACGGAAAAATTTTATAAGATGGTGGTGAGATCTGCAATGCTTTATGGCACGTACAAATTGTTGACCATTAAAGCCTAATTAATTCTTATTTATTACTCTAAAGTAGTTTCCTAATTCTCATCTCTTATTTTTGATAATTTTGTCCCTAATTCCTCTTGCTGAGTTCCATCACTGTCAATATCACATAGTCGTTTGAGGTTTGCTTCTAGACATTACTAAAAGTATGGAGGAGATTTATAAGCTTATAAACAGCCCAATTGTAAATGATGAAAATATTTAATATCCAATGAAATATGTTCAAATAGATCAATAAAAAAGTGTTAGTGAAGAACAGTTAATTCCTCTCAATTGCTTTATTACATCATCTAATTGTTCTAATCATTGTCACTAAACCATTTTGAATTGTTAGGATTAAAGTCTCATCTTTTCAAAATCATTCAAATATTAATGAATTCTATTCCAACAGTTCAAATTGCAATAAATGGCACTGATGGAAGAGTACATAACAATGCAGCTCCCTTGATATTTGCAGACATAAAATCTCATTCATAACAAAACAATTCTACCAAACAAAAAAAAAAAAAGTTTTTGCATCGTTTAATTTAGGCTATTACAGCAGTTTTAATTGCCACAAAAATGCTTATAATGTTTTCAAAACAGCTACAAGACAACTGCAGTCGCTATCTACGATTTTTGCAAATAGTCAAAATAGCATCAACAACAAAAACATCAAGTCTTTATCCAGCTACGTGGGGTCAGCTACATGAATTCTTTTTCTCTATTGTGTCTTGTTAAGAGTCAAATTCTCATTTAAATCTAATAAAAAATCCACCGTTGCTTAGCTTGGTTGGTGGGCGAGTACAGCTGGGAACCATCCAACCTTTGCTAGATTCCCATCAAGCTGCAGCGCCTCTTAAGTGGGGCACAATCAAGTGCAGGTCAGGAAGTTTCTGGGTGAGTGCCTCTTCTAGGTCAGCTGAGGATTAGTCATGCCGTCAAGCGCCCATTCGTGTGTGACAACATGTGGATACCTCGTTCTCAAAAAAAAAAAAAAAAAAAAAAAAACTAAAAAAAAAAAAAACATTTTTTT